ATTGTGCAGGAGGGGGCCTTCTTCTGTTTGTGAGATGGGGAAACTGAGGTTTGCATATTCATGGTCCTGGATGGCCAGGGGAAGAGGAATTCAATTCCATCCCTGCTCTTGAAGATGTTGTGTCTCCTCGAGTCTAGAGCTACGCTCTCCAGTATAGTTGTCCCCAGCCACACACAGTCATTGAAAGTAAAAAATTAATGAAATTTAAAATCCAGTTTCTGGGATGGATAAGCTGCCTTTCAAGTGTTTATTTGCCACACGTGGCTCGTGGTTACCACTTTGGACAATGAGATATAAAGCATTGCCCTCATTGCCGATATTCTATCAGGTGGTGCTAGAGATGTGCACTGGGGGATGTGCTTAAGGTCACAGCTGAACCACTAGGTTAAGAGCCTTTCTCCTCCCCAAAGACATCCCTTGACAATGTGGACCCAAAGCAGGCACCTCACCTGCCCCCCAACACGGGACCTTCCTTTCCTGCGCTGCAGACAGGCTGTGTGTGAGGTCACACCACCCTGCATTTGATGCTGGCGAGGGACCTTGGCCAGTGATGTCTATTTGCAAGTACAGTATCATTCTTTCAGCAGCCATATATAACGGACACTCAGCTACCCACTCTGTACAGAGGGTGTGTGAAAAGGCCACAATGCATGCCTAACACAGAGTTTCTCGGCCTCCCGCTGTGATGCTGAGGGACAGATCATCTAGGATGCTCGTAGAATTCCTAGCCTCCAACCACTAGGGGTCAGCAGCATGACAGGTGAGAGATGATGTGCTCTGTTCTCACTTCAGGCGTGTCTGACTCTCTGTGACCCCATGGATTGTAGCCCACCAGGTTCCTCCGTCCATGGGATTCTCCAGCCAAGAATACTGGAGTGGGTTGCCATTCCCTTCTCCAGGGGATCTTCCCAACCCAAGGCAGGGGAGAGATGGTTCTTGGAGCATGTGAGTCCCTCTGATAAGTTGCCCTCAAGAGCTGGAATTGTGCAGGAGGGGGCCTTCTTCTGTTTGTCAGATGGGGAAACTGAGGTTTGCGTATTCGTGGTCCTGGATGGCCAGGGGAAGAGGAATTCAATTCCATCCCTGCTCTTGAAGATGTTGTGTCTCCTCGAGTCTAGAGCTACGATGTCCAGTATAGTTGTCCCCAGCCACACACAGTCATTGAAAGTAAAAAAGTAATGAAATTTAAAATCCAGTTTCTGGGATGGATAAACTGCCTTTCAAGTGTTTATTTGCCACATGTGGCTTGTGGTTACCACTTTGGACAATGAGATATAAAGCATTGCCTTCATTGCCAATATTCTATCAGATGGTGCTAGAGATGTGCACTGGGGGATGTGCTTGAGGTCACAGCTGAACCACTAGGTTAAGAGCCCTTCTCCTCCCCAAAGACATCCCTTGACAATGTGGACCCAAAGCAGGCACCTCACCTGCCCCCCAACATGGGACCTTCCTTTACTGCGCTGCAGACAGGCTGTGTGTGAGGTCACACCACCCTGCATTTGATGCTGGTGAGGGACCTTGGCCAGTGATGTATTGCAAGTACAGTATCATTCTTCCAGCAGCCATATATAACGGACACTCAGCTACCCACTCTGTACAGAGGGTGTGTGAAAAGGCCACAATGCATGCCTAACACAGAGTTTCTCAGCCTCCCGCTATGATGCTGAGGGACAGATCATCTAGGATGCTCGTAGAATTCCTAGCCTCCAACCACTAGGGGTCAGCAGCATGACAGGTGAGAGATGATGTGATGTGCTCTGTTCTCACTTCAGGCGTGTCTGACTCTCTGTGACCCCATGGATTGTAGCCCACCAGGTTCCTCTGTCCATGGGATTCTCCAGCCAAGAATACTGGAGTGGGTTGCCATTCCCTTCTCCAGGGGATCTTCCCAACCCAGGGATTGAACCCCCGCCTCTTACATCTGCTGCATCGCCAGGAGGGTTCTTTACCACTAGTGCTGCCTGGGAAGCCCTGACAGATGATAGATAGACATGTATTGTTGTAGTTGTTCAGTCACTAAGTTGACTAACACTTTGCAACTCTTTGCAGGCCTGTGGACTGCAGCATGCCAGGCCTCCCTGTCCCTAACCATCTCCCGAAGTTCACCCAAGTCCATGTCCATTGAACTGGTGATGCTACATAGATAGATACATAGACAGACAGAAGGAAAGAGAGATAACCTAGACCAATGCATGGAGACAGAAAGCAGATTAATGGCTGGCAGGGACTGGGAGAGGAGGATGAGGGGTGACTGCCAACGGGGACAGGGTCTCCCTTGTAGGGTAAGGAGCCATTCCTCACGGTTAGTGGTAGCACAACACTGTGAATGTATTGAATGCTGCCAAACTATACACGTCAAAAGAGGGAACTTTATGTGACTGATACTGGGCTGAAAAGCCTTCCTCAAAATTCGTGCCCATGGGGACCCTGTGAATAAGACCTTATTTGAAACCAGTCTTTGGGGAAGTGGTCAGGATGAGGTCCCACTGAGACAGGCTGGGACCTGGGGCCTAGGGCCCTTTGCTGCAGTGCATGCACCTGGACAAACACCTCCTCGAACAACAGAATACAAGCAAACTATAAAGAACTGAAAATAGCTTCACACATGCACCACTGGGGAAATTATGGATAAGACAGAAAGAGACCAGAAACCCAACTGCCACTTCTGAAGAGCTGGGAGCAAAATCAGGGTGTTTCACATGCCCCCTGCCTACCACACCACCAAAGGGGCGGACAAACCACCTAAGCTGCCCCTCCAGCCCGACCCCTACCTTCACCCGAATAAGGAACCAGCTCACTGGGAGCAAGCAAGCAGAGGAGTTTGTTATTTGTTCTCCCTCCCTCTCTGCTGCAGCGATGCATGCATGCTAAATTGCTCCAGTCATGTCTGACTCTTTGCAACCCCATGGACTATAACCCACCAGGCTCCTCTGTCCAAGAATACTAGAGTGGATTGTCATGCCCTCCTCCAGGGGATCTTCCTGACCCAGGGATGGAACCCATGTCGCATTGGCAGGCAAGTTCTTTACCACCAGTGCCACCTGGGAAGCCTGTGCTCACAGTAGAAGTACCAGTAAAGCCTTGCCTAAATTTCTTGTCTGGCCTCTGATCCATTTCTATTGATTGAGAAGGACAAGAACCCCAGTCAGTAACAATACTGGACAGAAGTGGACCCTAATCCAATGAGTGATGTCCTTCCAAGAAAAGAGGGAAATTCAGACAGAGAGACACAGGGATGGGACCACAAGATGACAGAAGTGGAGATTGGAGTGATGCTTCTACAAGCCAAGGAATGTTGAGCATGGCCAGCAACACCAGAAATGAAGGAAAATGCCTAGAACAGATTCTCCTTCAGAGCCTCCAGAAGGAGTGTGGTTCTGCTGACACCTCGATTTCAGACTCTGACCCTCAGAATCGTGAGAGAATATACTTCCATTGTTCTAAGGCACCCAGGTTGTGATTTGTTACGGCAGCCCTTGGAGAAGAATGCACGCGTACTATCTCAGTTCAAAACAAGAGTGAGCACAGCAGAGACTCACCGGGAAGACTCGATGTAGCCCAGCACGCGGGCCACCAGGAGCTGCCCGTGTGTCTGCTCCAGGCGGGCACACAGCTGTTGCATCGCCTCCTTAGCAGTGGAGGCCAGCGGGGCTGGCACAGTGAAGGAGGCCCACTTCCGGGCCTCCTCGAAAGCCAGCCTCAGCCGCCCTGGGTGTCCACACTCCGGGAGGCTGGCCCAGAGCATGTCCCTCTGCACCTGACTCAGTGTCCTCCTCGAGGCGGCCAGCAGGAGCTGGATCATCTCTTGCCCTTGGTTTCCGGAGAGGGGTTTCACCTCCCAGAAAGCCCCTCGGTCCATGAGCACCTGCTGCATGGTGTCTAAAGCCCCCCGCTGTCCAGAGCAGGCCGAGACGATGAGGTGGACCCTCGGAGGACATTTGGGAGGCAGCCAGGGGATTCTCCTAGCACAGTGGACAGAGTCCACCTCATCCACCGAATCCAGCAGGATCACGAGGGACTCAAAGTTTCGGCAGGAGATGGTGTGGAGGAGGATGTGGAAAAACTGGATCACCCTGGTGTGGGCCTCCAGGACCTGGGCAGGGGGCAGGGGTAGCCCATAGGCCAGGCACACCTGGAAGCAGATGCTCTGCAGCAGGCCTCGGGCCTCAGAGCTCATCTGTGATGTCCCCAGGAGCCGCAGAATGGTCACTGTCTTCCGGCCGAGCAGCCCCGGCATTTGCTCAGCCAGCTTGCACATCAGAGCAGTTTTTCCGATGCCGGGGGGTCCAAAAAGCACCAGGGGTGGGTGGGGGTGGCCATCACTCTGTCTCAGTCGCTGCCCCAGCTGGGTCAGGAGCTCCTGGCGCCCACAGAAGGTCCGGTTGACCTCGGCACTGAGTCCCAGATGGTGACGGATCTCCTGATAGAGCCACGCCAACTCCTGCCTGCCCGCCTCCAGCTCCCGGAGGCACTCAAGAACCTGATGGTTAGCCCTGGCCACAAACTGTTCCCCCAGCTCCTTCAGGTATCGGGCATGAGCCTTGTTTTTGGGGTTCACCAGGTCTCGGCTCCATGGTAGGTGGTGGGCCTTGAGAACTCCAGGCTGCCGGTCAGCGATGCGCTCCTTGAGGTTGCTGAGAAGGTTCTGGGCATCCGTGTCCAGGCAACCATCTGCAAGACGGTCCACCATTTTGAGGGCACAGTCTTCCAGGATGTGCTTATTGAGGTCTTGGATCTCTCTCAGGAAGACGGTTGCCCCGTGGTCCCCAAATGTTGAGTTCAGCAAGGCCCGTTCTATTTCCCACTCAATGACTGCAAAAGTAGAGGAGAGTGTGGTCAGTGTTATGGCATCAGCTGGCTCAAATGGGGACAATTGGGAGACACATTCCAGGAATGGGAACACTGGAATTCAGGCTTAATGTGGGCCAGAGTCACTTGGAATAACTATAGACAACATGCAAAGGAATGGGCTCCAGTGTGTTCCAACAAAACTTTATTCATAGGTCAGCGATGCGCTCCTTGAGGTTGCTGAGAAGGTTCTGGGCATCTGTGTCCAGGCAACCATCTGCAAGACGGTCCACCATTTTGAGGGCACAGTCTTCCAGGATGTGCTTATTGAGGTCTTGGATCTCTCTCAGGAAGACGGTTGCCCCGTGGTCCCCAAATGTTGAGTTCAGCAAGGCCCGTTCTATTTCCCACTCAATGACTGCAAAAGTAGAGGAGAGTGTGGTCAGTGTTATGGCATCAGCTGGCTCAAATGGGGACAATTGGGAGACACATTCCAGGAATGGGAACACTGGAATTCAGGCTTAATGTGGGCCAGAGTCACTTGGAATAACTATAGACAACATGCAAAGGAATGGGCTCCAGTGTGTTCCAACAAAACTTTATTCATTAAAAACAAGCAGTGGGCCAGGTTTGGCTTAAGGCCACAGTTTGCCAGAGTCACTTGGGGGCTCTCAAAAACCGACATGGCTGGACCCTGCCTCCAGAAGTTCTGATTCTGCATGTCGGGGTAGGGCCCATGGTTTGAATTTCCAACAAGCTCCCAGGTGATGCTGAGGCTGGGGTTCAGAGGCCACACCAAGAGTGGCATTGATTCAACCACTATTCACAAAGAGCTGACTCATTAGAAAAGACTCTGATGCGGGAAAAACTGAAGGCAAAAATGGGGCAGCACAGGATGAGATGGTTAGATAGCATCACCAACTCAAGGGACACGAATTTGGGCAAACTCTGTGAGATAGTGAAGGACAGAGGAGCCTGACATGCTGCAGCCCATGGGACTGCAAATAGACATGACTTAGCAACTGAACAACAACAACGACAAAATCAAAGATACCTTGGTGTAGGCAACACACAGATGGTTGTGAAGCAGTGTGTGTGGGAAGCAGGCTCATCATAAAACAATGCCATCAAACTCAAAATAGTTAAATATGGAGTTTATATAGCTCTTAGGTATGGCCCCAAAAGCACTGAGAACAGAAGCTCAAACACTGGTGTGCAGGAATTGTTCATTTCAAAAAGGTTAATTTCATGCTATGTGAAAGCCGCCATAGATAACTTACAAACTAATGTGCTTGAGTGTGTTCAAATAAAACTTTATTTATGAAAACAAGCATGGGCTGGGTTTGGCCCCTGGGCCATGGTATGCTGACCCCTGTCCCAGAGCATGCAGCAGCTGCCCTGAGGACCTGTATCTTCTAGAGCCAAGAGCCCACACTGACTTCTCCTTAGAGGCCTTTGTTTTGAAATAGCAATCAGGTTTGAGTTATTTTTGAAGCTGACTTGGGCTCATCAGAGGCTCCCAGATCTCTGCAGCTGAGTGAGTCAGGCCCTTGGAGACAGGACTCAGTCTCAGAGCCAAAGACAAGAGCCACTTAAAAGTCCTCCTTGGTCTGACCCCACAACCCCCTTAGCCTCATGAATGGAGATCAGAGATGAAGGCAACTCACAGTCCTTAAATGGGATCCTTCTTGGACACATTTTGACATGAACCAATCCAAGACCATCTGTCTGCCAGCAACAGGCTGTGTGACCTTGGGAAAAATCACTGCACCTCTCTGAGTCTCTGTTTCCTCCCTTTAACATGGGTACTAATCCCAAAATTGAAAGGGCTGCTATGAGGATTTTCTGTTAAATAATGCTTTTGAAAAGCTGAGCATATTATGCTGAAGAAACGAAAGCTTACGGTCTGCGATTGTATCTTCTGTGACATGGTAGAAACAAAATAAATGAGATGGAGTTGGGTTAGCGCCTGCCAAGGCTGGGGTTTGTGGGGAGGGGTGAGTGTAGCTCTATATGGCAGTGGGAGGGACCCTTGTGTATCAACCATGGTGGTTACTTGAAGCTATACAGGTGATAAAATTGCAGAGAAAGAAAAGGCTCATACACACACCTGCACAAACGGTTTCTGTTAGTCTCTCTGTATTCTAACAAGGTCCACTTCCTGGTTATAATACTGCACCCTAGTTATGCAAGATGTTACTTTTGGGGAAATCTGGGTAAAGGATACATGAAACCTCTTCCCCCCCCCCCTTTTTTTTTCAATTTCCTGTGAAACTCTATTTCAAGATTAAAAAAAAATTTTTTAAGAAAGTTTAGCATGGTGCCTGAAAAATAATATGGTCTAAAGGTACCGTCTATGACATGCCCCTGACTTCCACACCCATTTGTCTTTCTGCTGATGTCTAGGAATTTCTATTTGTTCTTTCAGATGGGACTTACTAATGGGTGAGGTTTGACACGACTGCTTGGTGATCTTATTGTTGAATAAGATCACGGCCGAGACAGGACCTTTCAGATCTCCATAACGACTCCCCTAGGTACTACTTCTGACTAATTCCTTTTTACAAATGAAGAAACAGAGGCTCCAAGCCTGCCAGAAGTCAGTGCAGCTGGAAAGGTGCAGGGCTGAGATGTTAATCTGGGCCCATCTCAAAGTACAGAGCCCAGATGCTGAGTATGACCTCAGTGTCAGATATCTCTCTAAGAATAACTGGCGCACTTGGCTTCCTGTCATAGAGCAAGCTGTAGTGACATAGTAAGTGCTCAATAAACAGTGGACTTAACATTATTATACACACAAAAGGTGTATTCAGAATTGGTCTGTCATTACTAGTCTTAACCAAAGAGTCAAGGTTAGCATCACCTATGATATCAGGAGGGCTTCAGGGACTCCTGACATGATGGGATGGGGAGGGAATTTCAGCTCTGTGGTCTTCCTCCCCCACACCTATAATCCCACTCAAATCATGAGAAAGCACCAGCCAAACCCAGACTGAGGGACATTCTATGAAAGGCCTGACCAGCACGCCTCAAAACAGTCATGAAAAACTGTTGCAGATCAGAGTAGCCTAAGAAGACAAAGAATGGAACACAGTGTGGAATCCTGGGACAGAAAGACATTGATGGGAGAACCGTAGAAATCCAAATAAAGTCTGGAGCCTAGTTACTAGTCATGTACAGGTAGTAAATGTTGATGTTCATTTCTGAGTTCTGGCAAATGTACCTCCATCATATAAAATGTTACTCTTACATGAGTACGAGAAATCTACACAATCTTTGTAGCTTTATAACACTGTAACTTTTTTGTTCATCTAAAATTATCCTCAAATAAAATTTTTTAAAATAGATATGTCATTACTAGAATGACTATATATATGATAAATGGCAGTCAATATATTGTAATAAAATACTATTAGTATAAATGACTACATTCAATACCTTTAAATAAATCAATATATTTCATATGTTGATCAAATGAATTTATATATTTTATAGTGTGGTTAATATAAATCCATATACTTAATAACATAAATTCATATATTTAATAGTATGGATAACATGAATTCATATAGTTATTAGTTTGGATAATATAAATTCATATATTTAATAATGTGAGGGCTTCCCTGGTGACTTAGTGGTAAAGAATCTGTCTGCCGCTGTAGGCGACACGGGTTCGATCCCTGATCCGGGCAGATTCCAGATGCCGCAGAGCAACTAAGCTGGTGCACCACAGCTACTGAATCTGTGCTCTAGAGCCCGGGAAACGCAACTACTGAGTCCACACTGCAGTTACTGAAGCTCTCACGCCCGAGAGCCTCTGCTTTGCAACAAGAGAAGCCACTGAAACGAGAAGCTGGTTCACTGCGACTGAAGAGTGGCCCCCACTCTCTGCAACCAGAGCAAGCCTGCGCAGCAAGGAAGAAGACTCAGCACAGCCAAAATAATAAATAAAATTATATAAAAATACTGTGGGTGATGTAAATTGTCATTGCAATTGTAAATTGCACTAATAAAGCGCAAACTGACATTACTAATCTGTAAATAATGAGAACCTGTTTCTTACTGAAAGAACCTATTTCTTTCCTGAATCAGCAAGCAGTGGGGCAATGGCTTGATCTCACTGCCTTTTTAGGAACGCCTTTCTGCTAGCCCGGTGTGGAGGATGGAAGCGGCCGAGGACAAGGTGAGAGGTGAGAGGTAAGGGACCAGCAGGGAGCTAGGTGATGGACTCAGCACAGTGGGGAAACTCTACTCCCCTCCTTGGGCAAAAGAGACTCCTTCTTCCTGTGCTTTGGTTTTCAGAGACAGGTACATTGATGAAGGACAGTTTCCTCAGTAGCAGCCGGCTCTCAGCTAGCCCAGGGTGACCCACTCTTCCAGTTTTCCCAGAACTGTCCTGGGTTTGGCCCTGAAAGCCCTGAATCCTGGTAGGGTCTTGGTCCCAGGTTTATGAGGATGGTGGTCATCCTAGGACAAGTCCCCCAAAGCCAGGAGCCTGCCTGAAAGAAGGAAAGGAGCCAGGAGAGAAGAACTCTAAGAGGCTGAAGTTAACCAGGAGGTGACTACACTCTCTTGGATCAGAAAAACAATCTTTCTCAGAACTGGGCCTCCGGGAGCTAGGTTGGTTTGGCATTTATAGAAATGCAAGCAGTGGTGTTTGGCTAAAGCGTGATGTGCATTTTGAACACCTGGGCGTTTCCCGGGGACCCCGAGGGGAGTCTGGGCAGCCTCACCTGACCGGTAGTAGCGATGCCACTGCTCCTGGCTGATGAGCCCCAGCCTGAGGGCCTCTTGGGCTCCGGAGCGCAATGCAGAGATCAGGGCGGCCTCCTCGGGCCCAGAGGCCTCCCCAGGGCCCAGGGCCTGCAGCAGGTAGGCGGGGGGCACCGCGTTCTCGTCCCTCCAGAAGCGCTGTGCCACCAGCTCCAGGTCGCGGGGCCTGGCGGTCAGCTGAGCCTTCAGCGCCTCCCACTCCTTTTCCTCGATCCGCGTGGGGACGGGGCAGGGGCCGTACTGGTCACCCACGAGGGCCTAAAGGAGAGAGGGGTGGAGAGGGGTGGCATTGGGTTCAAGTCTTGGCTTAGGCATTTAGCTCAGTGACCCTGGGTGAGGCATGCCGAGCCCTTAAAATGAGCCTGGTGGTTGTTCCACAGAGATAATTAGATTAATGTAAGCAGATTGATTAGGGGTCCCCAGAGAAAGAGAACCAGTAATGGCTTTCTTGACATAAGAGAAACCATTTTGGCCTAAGCCATTTTGTGATTGAAGCCTGGCCTCAATGCTTGCCCTTGAACACATCTAAGTAATTCATTATCTTAAGGAAAGTGAGATGATGCAGGAATAAAGGAAAAGCAGTCAAGAAACAATCCAATAGTCCATACGTTAGGGGGAACCACTGACTAAAGCCACCCACCCTAGCCAGGCCCAGTAGTCACCACCTGCATGAGTTAACAGGGGGTCCTGGTAAGGGATGCAGAATCCCTTGAGACGGGAAATGTCAAAAGGTGGTTCAGCGGTAAAGAACCTGCCTGCAATACCAGAGATGCGGTTCCATCCCTGGTTGTGGAAGATCCCCTGGGGAAGGGAAAGGCTACCCACTCCAGTATTCTTGCCTGGAGAATCCCACGGACACAGGAGCCTGGAGGGCTATAGTCCATGGGGTTGCAAAAACATCAGACATGTCTTAGCAACTAAACAACACAAGAGACTCTAGTTCATATATCCTACCAACCTCCCAGGATCCGTCTCGCTGGGATCCACCTTGGCTGATGCGATGCGTGCACCATCAGGAAGGACCCGGAGTCAGAGTAATTGGCCAGAGACAATCCAGCAACCAAGGCAATTACCATAATACCGGGAACTGGGAGCCACGTGGCAGAGCAGTTCTCCTGGGTTCCCTTATACTACTGTTCTCTGTCCAGGCATACTTTTCCAATAAAGTCTCTTGCTTTGTCAACATGTATGTCTCCTCGGACAATTCATTTCTGAGTACTGGACAGGAGCCTGCTCTTGGGCCCTGGAAAGTGTTCCCCTTCTTGCAACACAGTGATAAAACAGACCCCTAGCTCCTCTTCAAAGGATATACATATAAAATATCTTTGAGTTCTGCAGGAACTAAGACTCCTACCCAGGTGGAATATAGGGTGATGGTGTAGACCCTCCTGACTTCGATCGACCAAAGCTTGGACACTGTGGACCTTGGTCCCAATTCTAGGCTGAATTCACCTCTGCTCAAATCACTTCATAAATTATATGCATGCCCCCTTGGCTTAAAATTTTCTCAATTTTGCTGTTCAGGGAGACACTGCTTTGGAAAAGGTCTCTGGTGTTTTCCTAACTTGTTGCAAGTAACAAGTCCTTCCAGGCTTCCTTGGTGGCTCAGTGGTAAAGAATTCGCCTGGCAATGCAGGAGACATGGGTTTGATCCCTGGTTTGGGATCAAACATGCCTCCGAGCAACTAAGACTGCATACCACAACTACCGAGCCCACGGGTCGCAACTACTGAAACCCTCATGCCCTAGAGACCGTGCTCTGCGATAAGAGAAGCCACTGCGATGAGAAGCCAGTGCACTAGAATCAGAGAGTAGCCCCCGCTCGCTGCATCTAGAGAAAGCCTGCGTGCAGCAACAAAGACATAGAGCAGCCAAAACTAACCTAATTAAAAATTTTTTAAAAAGAGCCAATCTGGAAAGGGAGATGGTGAGATCCCAATGCAGAATATCTTCCCTGCAGAATATCTTCCCCAAATACATATATTGAGGCAAACTCATGACAGCTGCTAGCAGAAAGCAGTGACCAAAACAGTGTTGGGCCCTGCCTTCCTGGACCTCAGAGTCTTAACAGGAGAAACAGGCTTCAGTCTGAGAATTGCACCAGTGTCAGTATTTCAGCTGTCATCAGCCTAAGAGGAAAAGGCAAATTAGGTCACACGAGGGCCGTGGAGTCAGAGAAACTCCGCTGAGGGAGTGAGGATCAAGCTACAGAATAAGACACGGGAAGGAGTGCCCCTGGCAGGGGGCCTGAAGGGGAACAGTACATCCAGAGGCCCTGGGATATACTGTGCGGGAAAGACAGCGTCTACAGGACCAACAAAGAAGAGGCAGTAAAGGGAGATGAGGCCACCCCTGGGACGCTTTTGCAGGGCTTGTGGAGACCCTAAGTATTTGGTCTTACTACAAGAACATAGGAGCCCTTCTTTCCACCGTCAGCATGCTTGAAGAAGGTGCAAACTGGAATTCAAGAGAATTGGGCTGGAGAAGGCCTAGGACAGTGGACCCAAAGTCTTGAGTTTCTTCATTATGTAAAATGGAAGCAGTCAACCCTCCCTTCTTCACTGGGACATACCGGAATATTCCAGGGGGTGTGCACCTGGGATCACTGGAATCTGTGATGATGGTGTAATGGTGCCGGACCCTAGGGGACAGACCCCGCCCCTATATCCTCACCTTTAGCTCCTCCCTGAAATACATAGAAAACAGTATCTGATGCACATTTCCTGAGTTGTCTTGAAAAAAAAAAAAGAAAGTGTGAGTCGCTCAGTTGTGTCCAACTCTTTGCAACCCTATGGACTGTAGCCCACCAGGCTCCTCTGTCCATGGGATTCTCCAGGCAAGAATACTGGAGTGGGTTGCCATTCCCTTTTCCAAGGGATCTTCCCAACTCAGGGACTGAACCCAAGTCTACTGCATTGCAGGTGGATTCTTTACTGTCTAAGCCACCAGGGAAGCCCAGTGAGAAAACGCTCATCAAATGGAAGAAATTCACTTTGTGATGATCATAAACACATAGCCCCCAGACCTATGGCACCTTAGGACTGGTAACGTTAACCCCTGTGATACCACCCTGTTACCTCACCATCAACCAATCAGAGACTTGTGTGAGTTGGTCCCATACCCTGCAACTCTACTCCCTCACCTGGCCTTTAAAAATGCTTTCCAGTAGTGAAACAGATCACCAGCCCAGGTGGGATGCATGAGACAAGTGCTCAGGCCTGGTGCAACTGGGAAGACCCAGAGGAATCGGGTGAAGAGGGAGGTGGGAGGGGGGGATCGGGATGGGGAATACATGTAAATTCATGGCTGATTCATGTCAATGTATGACAAAACCCACTGCAATGTTGTGAAGTAATTAGCCTCCAACTAATAAAAATTAAAAAAAAAAAAGCTTTCCCGAAAGTCAGCTGGGAGTTCAGGGGTTTGGAGCAGCAGCTGCCCTGGACTCCTTGCTTGGCACCTGCAGTCAATGCCGTGCTTTCCTTCATGACAACTTGGTGTTGGGAGATTGGTTTTACTCTGCGTGGACATGTGGATCCAAGTTTGGTTTGGTAACAAGGTGTTGAAGAGGATTCCACTCTCCAACTGCCTTTCCTGAAGGAAGAGCCTTGGACAAGCAAGAGGAGCTGGAAAAGATGTAGCCAGCCAACCACAAGCTCTCCGGAAGGAGGCAGAAGATAAAGGTGCTCTGTCTGTGGGGCCAGAGCAATGGGAATGGGAGGAGCTTGAAAGAAGCTCCAGTTGCCACCACCAGGGGCAACTCTCTGGAGATGCTGGAGCTGCCGGTGGCCCGAGAGACCCAGAGCTTCTAGAAGGAAGTGCCATGGGGAGCCGTCCCCTGCCGCACTGCCTGATGACTTATTTACCAGAGAGGTGCCTCTCCAAGGGCCTCCACTGCGTCTCTGCGTTTTGTGGAAAGCCCCCTAAACCAGAGCCACTGAAGGAGAATGAAGCTGTGACTCTCAAGAGTTAGAGGGGAGATGCCTGTTTCAGGAGGAACACAGGAAGTAGCTAAAGGTCAGCCTGCGGCCCAAGGAATCCTCCTGGAAGGTCCCTGGGCCTTTCAGGCCTGGGGGAAGCTCTGAAATCACCTTCCCCTCCCCGTCCACCCTCCCCCACGCCACCTGGAAGCTGCGTTGCGCTTTTGGCTGCCTGCAATTTCGGTTGCAAAATGGAAGTCCTCCTGGAGTTCCTTTTCTCCCCATCTCCCTTTCTTCTTTACAAAACTTTTTTCTTTTCTTTTTTTCTTTGAAGCTCAACAAAATGATCAATCATCAGTCTCAACCATCAGCAAAAGCAGAAGACTGGGGGGAAAATTCACAAAGGAGATACGTAAGTCAGAGGATTTGGTTGTTGCTTAATCACTCAGTTGTGTCCGGTTCTTTGTGACCCCATGGACTGTAGCCCTCCAGGCTTCTCTGTCCATGGGATTTCCCAGGCAAGCATACTGGAGTAGGTTGCCATTTCCTTCTCCAGGGGATCTTCCAAACATGAATCAAACCCACATCGCTTGCATTGGCAGGCAGATTCTTTACCACTGAGTCACCAGGGAAGCAACTCAGAGGTTAGAGCCTTTAAAATATTAGACTGTGTTTTAAAGCAATAATAATTATTAAATAGGGAGCTATACTCATTACTTTGCAACAACTTTTTAAGGGAAAAGAATCTGAAAAAGTATACACATATATATGCATTCGTACTCAGTTGCTTCAGTCGTGTTGATGCCAAGCTCCTCTGTCCGTGGGCTTTTTCAGGCAAGAATACTGGAATGAGTTGCCACTTCCTTGAGGCTCCAGGGAGTCTTCCCCACCCAGGGATCAAACCTGAGTCACCTGTGTCTCCTGCATTGCAGATGAATTCTTTACCTGCTGAGTCATTATGGATGTATGTAACTGAATCACTTAGCCATACACTTGAAACCAACACAACTTGTAAATCACCCATAAAGTAAAAATAATAAAGAATTCAATAAAATATAAAGAAATGAAATCAAGTGATTCAAACTTCCAGTTATAAGATAAGTCAGTCTTGGGGATGTTATGTGCTACATGGAGACTGCAGTTAACACTACTGTAGGGTATATTTGAAAGCTGCTAGAAAGTAAACCCCAGACATTCTCATCACTAGGGAAACTATTTACCTTTTTCATATCTATATGAGCAGCTGGGTGTCAACTAATATTATTTAATAATCATTTCACAATATGTGTAAATCAAGTCATTATGCTGTATACTTTAAACCTATACAGTGCTGGATGTCAGTTACAGCTCAACAAAATAGGAAAGAAAGAAAAACTGATGTCAACCTACAAAGAAAACTATAGGAGGAAAGAATGAAAACAGAGTGGTTACTGTACAGATAACATTTAATACATAGTAAAGCTTTTCACATCTGCCACTCAGATCTTAGTTTTTCTTTAAGGAGACGTAATCTCTAAAGCAACACTAAAACTTTCAGCAACGCTGGAAGTGTTCATACCCATGCTGTCTAACACGGTGGCCACTTGAGACATGTGGCCACTGAACCACTGGCATGCGGCTGGTGCAACTGAGGAACTGAAATTTTAATTCTGCCTGATTTTAATTCACTTGAATCACCACACGTGGTTCCTGGCTACTCCACTAGGCAGAGGGCTTCCCAGGTGGCATTAATGGTAACGAATCTGCCTGCCAAGGCAGGAGACATAAAAGACACGGGTTCGATCCCTAGGTCAGGAAGATCCCCTGGCCCGGGGCGGGGGCACAGCAACCCACTCCAGTATTCTTACCCGGAGAATCCCATGGACGAGGAACCTGCTGGGCTACAATCCATAGGTTTGCAAAGAGTCAGACACAACTGAAGCGACTTCGCACGCATGCACGCCCACTGGGCAGGGCAATTTTAAGGCCAAATGGGCTTCATGTATTTGTCTTTATTTCCCTAGAAAACAGCTTTTATAATGGGGACCACCTTCTTTTACTTGCTATATTCTTATCTCCAGGAGAAATTTTTGGGGGGAGCTGCTCGAAGCTTGTTTTTGATTAAGATGTATTGGGCAAAGATACTTTCTTGACTTTTTCTCTCTTTACTTTCTAGGACAGGTTTAGGCAAACTTTCCATCAAGGGCCAAATAACCAATATTTTCAGGGCTGATGGACAGATGGTCTCTGTGGCAACTACTCAGCTCTGCCATTGAAACTAGAAGCAGCCTAGAGTGGTATGTAAATGAATGAGTGTGGCAGTGTGCCAATAAAGGTTCATTTACAAAAACAAGTAGAAGGCTGGATTTACCCCATGGGCTGTGGTTTGCTGACCCCCGCTCTAGGATTTATGAGCCAAAATTCTCTAGTTCTTGGTATATTTGAAACTTGGTGATGTAATAAATCAAAATTTTGGAATATCATTTGGTGATTATAACTTAAACCATTAATTGTGTGCTGGAGATTGTTCTGATATCAGAGAGAGTTTAGTTGGGGAGGAGAGAAGACCCTGGTTGGTCTTGCCTAGGGTCAGAAGAAGCTAGCTCCTGAGACAGGCTCAAAAAAGGGCCATAGAGAGGGAGAAAAAGGGCACACGGGAGAAAAAAAATTTGCATACCCTGTAGATTTTCACGTTCTTTATGGTATTCTAGGGTCTCAAAGTTCCCGAAACAAAGCTGATGGTGGAGGAATGCTCAGAGAAAATTCTAAGATTCCTTTGGGCTTCGGCACTCTGCTCTCCCACTCACCTGCTGCTTCCACTTGACTGCTACTGTCTGGATTCCAGTTAGCTCTCCAGAAAAATGGGTGCTGTGATCAATTAGCAATGTCTGCCATGGGCAGGCTATGAAGATTGAGGGTGATAGCAGAAATGCCACCCACTTCCCTCCACTGATGGGTTTGGTCTAGAAACGGAGCCATATCCTGGTGCTAGAATGAGGACTAAGAGTTAATCTGTCCTTCCCAAGAGACTCACAACAAAAGCTGGCCCTATGGATGTTTTCTGACACCGGTCAAGCTCCTCCAAGCACAGTTCCGTGGTCATGCGGTCAGTGGCCTCGGTGTCCCGAATACCCCACCGCAGGTCAACCACCTGAAAATTACAAGCATGGGTTTGTCAGGAAGGTGGCAGTATGGGTGATGTTTTTCCATTCCTTTTGATAAAGGCATAAAGTTTCTTTCAGTCATTTTTTTATTTTTGGCTGCCCTATGCAGCAAGCCAGATCTTAGTTCCTGGACCAGATATCCAACCCTGGCCCGCTGCCTTGGGAGCTCGGAGTCTTAGTCACTGGACCACTAGAGAAGCTCCTCTTTCAGTAATTTGACAACCTTTCCTCAAAGAGGGATGTCTGGATTAAAAGAACTTGAATGACACCCATAATCCCAGTGTAATCATAGAAAAATATCAGACAGACCCAAACTGGAGGTATGCCACAGGACTCCCAGGCAATTTTCCCCACAACCGTGCTGCTCACGAGTACCAAGGAGAAGACCTTTGTACAGAAGGACAGAAGAAGCTGTCCCAGCCACAGGAGACTGGGGAGCTGGGACAACTGAATGCAATAGAGCCCCTTGGCCTTCTAAATGTAACAGAGCTCTCCAGCCAGAAAGGAGACACAAACAGCGCCAGTCAAAAAGTCTGGCGGTTGCTTAAAGGCAATGTACCAATGTCCATTTCTTAGTCATAACAAACATGCTCCGGTAATAGAAGATGGTCACAACAGGGGAAAAAGTGGGTGGGTGGGGGGCATGTGGAGACTCTATCCTATAGGCAATTTTCCTGCAAATTTAAATTCCAAACTCAAACATTTACTTAAAAATATTTTAAAACATTTTAAAAGAACTTGGGCATTTTCAAACTGTTCCTTCATGTCCGCACTCGTTCACAGAGCTTTCTTTGCAAAGTAGGGTTTTTCCTTGGCCAGAATCAGACATGGCAAAGTCTCCTGGGCAACTGCATGCTTGTGGTCCTTTTTGGTCTACTGGCCGGAGGTGGGGCAGAGTAGAATGATTTAATTCAAGCAGTGAAGCTGACCGGGCAGAAAGCTGGGATGAGGAGAGAGTGGGTGGGACTCAGAATAAGCCATGTCTCCCTCAATTCTTTTGTCCAGAGAGAAGGACATAAAATTTCTAATAAACTACAGCATGGGGTAAAAGGACTACGGTACCGGATGTGGCTGGAGGAGGAAAGGGAAAAGGAAAAAGGATCAGCAACTGGGCCCGCACGAGAAACGTCATCTTTCCAGGCCACTGTCTCCCAGCCTGCACCTTGAGGGTGTTTATTGCCTTAGTCACACATTAAAGGGATGCACACGGGGCGTTTCATCAGTGCTCAGCACCTATGTCTTCCCGTATAGTGTCTCTGCCATTGAATCATGTCTCATGATCAGTGGAGGGCAGAGGCGAATTCCCACCACAGTGTTGCCTCTTTCTTAGTAATGTAGAGGGAATTTCCTGGTGGTCCAGTGGTTAGACTCCCCGGATGACTGTTATAAATGGCAAGGAGATGGCATCAACTAAGGCTGAGACTCCAAAGACAGTTTATCAGTTTCCACTTAGGAACATGCCGGCATCTACAGCCCCACCCTGGGATAGGTGCACTCTATCTGGGGCCCATGGTGACTGCCCAGCTGGTGCACATCTTACATGCATACCCACCCAAATAGCCCACAGCCCTCTTAGACACCCCCTAAAGCTGTTCCGGTGTAGGGAGGGCTGGAGGACAGGACAAAACAACAATGAAAGTGACATGCAAGGCTTCCCTGGTGGCTCAGTGGTAAAGAATCAGCCTGCCAATGCAGGAGATACAAGTTTGACCCCTGATCCAGGAAGATCCCAGATGCCACAGAGCAACTCACCCCTTGCTCCAGAACTACTGAGCCTGGGAACCATAACTACTGAGCCCACATGTCCTGGAGCCTGTGCTCCACAGCAGGAGAAGCCGCCGCAATGAGAAGCCTGCGTCATCCATCACACCCACAGCCCCCACCATCATTTTTTAAAGTATTTATTCTTATTTATTTACTTATTTGGCTGTGCTATGTCTAGGTGTGGCATGTGAGCTCTTAGTTGCAGCATGTGGGGTCTAATTCCCTGACCAGGGATCGAACCTGGGTCCCCTGCACTGGGAGCAACGAAGAGTAGACCCTGCTCTCTGCAGCTAGAGAAAGCCCACAGACAGCAACGAAGACCCAGCACAGCCAAAAAGAAAAAGAAAGTAAATCTTATTAAAAAAAAGAAAAGTGATATGCCCAAGGAGCAGAGTTGCAAGGCATCCACTCCTAGTCCTTTGCCACACCAACTGAGTTGACTGCCATGCCCATGGCCACGACCTCTCCACCTGCCTTTTTCAGAGGACTTTCATCTGTAATTCAGGTGTGGAGCCCCTCTGAGCAAGGAACCCGTGTGACTGCCCAGGTCGCTGAGACAGTGAGGGGCAGGTGGGCAGTTACCTCGAACATCAGGCCGTGCTTCTGGCAGAAGGTCTGCACTTCAGGGTAGGCGGTGCTCTGTAGGGCTTCCCTCTCTGCGTCCATATCTGCAAGGAACAGCACGGAGGCTAGGAACTGGAAAAACTCAAGAACTTGTCCCTGCCTCACAGCTCTGCTTTTAGCCTCATGTACTCTTCCAAAGGAAAGCTATGACAAACCTAGTGTGTGAGCTCAGTCACTCTAGTTGTGTCTGAGTCTGTGTGACCCTATGGACTGTATAGCCTAGCCAGCCAGGCTCCTCTGTCCATGGTGATTCTCCAGGCAAAAATACTGGAGTGGGTTGCCATTCCCTTCTTCAGGGGATCTTCCCAACCCAGGGAGGACCTGCGTCTCTTACATATCCTGCATTGGCAGGTGGGTTCTTTACCACTTTGCCAACAAAGGTCCATACAGTCAAGGCTATGTTCTTTCCAGTAATCATGTACAGATGTGAGAGTTGGACCATAAAGAAGGCTGAGCGCTGAAGAATTAATGCTTTTGAATTGTGCTGGAGAAGACTTTTGAGAGACCCTTGGACTGCAAGGAAATCAAACCAGTCAATCCTAAAGGGAATCAACACTGAATACTCATTGGAAGGACTGATGCTGAAGCTGAAGCTCCAATACTTTCGCCTCCTGAGGTGAAGAGCTGACTCACTGGAAAAGACCCTGACGCTGGGAAGGATCAAGAAGGACAAAAGGAACAAGAAGGACAGAGGATGAGATGGTTGGATGGATCCATCCCTGACTCAATGAACATGAACTTGGGCAAACTCCAGGAGATGGAGAGGGACAGGGAGGCCTGGCATGATGCAAAGAGGGGTTGCAAAGAGTCGGACACGACTTGGTGACTGAATAACAACAACTCATGAAGGCTAGAACCCTTCATGATGAATCAAAAGCTACAAAAAGTAGGAGGCATGCCACAAAGACCAGCTATGCCTGGGACTTTCCTAGTGTTAGTGCTAAAAATCCCACATCCCAGGAAACCCCTCAGACCCCCTAACCAGTATGGTTGTTCACCTTTGGTTGGGGTTGCCAGATAAAATACAGGACACCCAATTGATTTGCATTTCAGATAAGCAATGAGAAACCTGATAGCATAAGTACAGCCCACTCCCTGAACTCCAGAATTTGCATTTCTGATAAGCCCTGCTCAATTTGTAACACAAATCACTTGTTAGCATAAGTATGTCCCTCTCTGCACACTGGTGGTGGGGGTTTACTCACTCAGTCCTGTCTGACTCTTTGTGACCCCGTAGACTGCCAGCCAGGCTCTTCTGCCCATGGGATTTCCCAGGCAAGAATACTGGAGTGGGTCACTATTTCCTTCTCCAAGGGCTTTTCCTGACCCAGGGATTGAATCCATGTCTCCTACATTGCAGGCAGTCTTCATTGCATCAAGTCTTTACTGCTGAGCCGTCAGAGAAGCCCGTCTGCACACTATCTTATACTGAAAGATCACTGGTTATTTATTTCAAATGCAAATTGAGCTGGGTGTCCTGGTTTTGTTGGTTAAGGTGGTGGTTTGGTTTCTTATTTTTGATAAACCTGGCAGCCCTGCCTAGGTTTATCTAGGAATCCAAATCTGGATTCCAAGATTATTTTCTACCACGTGCCTTCATTGTATGACCTTGTGCTATCATGCTATCCTTGGTGTCCGCCTCTATAAATGGGGGTGATGCCTCTACTCTGCAGGGCTACAAGCTCCCCAAAGTCAGAAACCTCTACGCTGTCTAGGTCATTGCTAATTTCTCAGCACTCAACACAGGCACTCAATAAATGTTCATGGAACCAATGAGGCTGCACCTACTGTAAGTAAGCATTCAAGAATTATTTGTTTTCTCCATGTAGCCAGGGGAAGGTCACTTTAGTGTCCATGAAAGGACTCCCAAAGCCACTAGTACAAAGAAGCTGCCTGGGTCCTAGCATAGGCACTGACCTGAATGCCAGTCTTGGATCTGTCTCCTACTCCCTTCCTGTATTGTGTCCTATGACTTCCACAGGTTATTTATATTTGTCCATAAAATATCCACTGTGAAGTTACTTTATCTCCAAACACTAAAAATGATCCCTGGTGGTCCAGTGGTTAAGACTCCCAACTTCCACTGCAGGGGGTCACAGGTTCAATCCCTGGTCAGGGAACTAAGATGAAGTTTGCATGCATGCTAAGTTGCTTCAGTCAAGTCCAACTCTTTGTGACCCCATGGACAGTAGCTAGCCAGGCTTCTCTGTCTATGGGATTCACCAAGCAAGAATACTGATGTGGGTTGCCATTTCCTCCTCCAAGGGATCTTCCCAACCCAGGGATCGAATCCGAATCTCTTATGTCTCCTGCAGTGGCAGGCAGATTCTTTATCACCAGCACCGCCTGGGAAGTCCCAAGATTCCACAAGACAAAAATCACCAAAACAAAAAAAAAAGCATCAAGGATACAATGGAGAACAATACATATGTAGATAATGCAGTATGCTGAAGCCAGCCCCTACTGTCCTGGGAAAGCTGATTGCTAAATCATCAGGAATTTTGTTAAAACAGCCACTGTGAAAAATTAGCTTCTCAGTTGGCTCAGTGGTGAAGAACCCATGTGCTAATGCGGGAGACTCGGGTTCAATCCCTGGGTCAGGAAAATACCCTGGAGAAGGAAATGGCAACCCACTCCAGTATTCTTGCCTGGAAAATCCCATGGACGGAGGAGCCTGACCGGCTACAGTCCATGGGATCACAAAAGAGTCAGACATGACTTAACTAAATAACAACTTGAAAAATTAAACTATCTGAACTTAGGATGAAACACATTATAGTAAAAGCGGAGATTGCAGATACTCAAACCTCATCACTTCTGAATTATTTTACTACCCCTGGCCATGGATTCTGCTCTTGAGTTTGTTTACAGCTATTGATTTTGCATTAGGATGGTGAGCTACCCAACATATCTGACTCCGTGTTTATGAGGTCACCCAGGGCAGCTTGAAATTGACCATGGTGGGAGAATCTACACCATGGAAATTGGCAGACAGTACAAATCAGGGGTTTTTATTTTAATTTTTGGAGAACAGGTTATTAAACACTTGCCAGCACAGACTGTGAACTCTTTGCCTTCATGGAGCTTATAGCCTGGTTGGAGGAGTCAGGCACTACATAAACAGATAGGTTGAATAACTGCAGCTTATGGGGCTTGGGGCTTCATAGGTTCCTGGACCTATTGGAGCCCACTGTGACTACAACATGTAGGTGAGGTGAGAGTTACACCAGATAAAAGTTGGGAAGTGAACCGGATCCTGTTATACAGAGCTTTGTAGCTATGGGAAGACTTGGGCACTTTTTAAGCCTAGCTTAGAATATTCATCTGGAAAAAGCATTGGCAACCCACTCTAGTACTCTTGCCTGGAAAATCCCATGGACAGAGAAGGCTGGTGGGCTGCAGTCCATGGGGTTGAGAAGAGTCGGACATGACTGAGCAACTTCACTTTCACTTTTCACTTTCATGCATTGGAGAAGGAAATGGCAATCCACTCCGGTGTTCTTGCCTGGAGAATCCCAGGGACGGTGGAGCCTGCTGGGCTGTCGTCTATGGGGTTGCACAGAGTCGGACACAACTGAAGCGACTTAGCAGCAGCAGGACATTCATCATTAATATTAGTTGCAGTATCATTTGCCACTCACAACTCTCTCAAGTTAGGCCCTGAGGCTGGCTCATGGAGGAGGAAGCAAAGGGTCAGGGAGGCTCTCCCTCACCAGTCCCTATGTGTGTGGGTTACTGGCCAGGCTGTGTTCACGTCCAGGTCTCCTAGAGGACGCTGTGAGCCATGCCCATTGGCCCTGGCACCCCCCAAGCTCCCAGTCCGGCCCTGTCCCTTACCTGAGACCGTAGAGCTGATGAAGATGGCCACGCTTCTGGATGTAGGTGCTGGGAGGGGGCCTGCCTGACCCTGGAGAAGCCGCCGGCGGGTGCCTGGGCTGAGGGGGTTGTCGTTCATGCTGTCCACCCACCTGGACAATCTTTCCCCAGGAAAGGGCGGGGGCCTCAGACACCTCACACCAGAGGCCAGATGGCCTTCCTGGAAGGCCAGCCAGGAAAGGCCATCTGCAGTGGGGTACCTGTCTCACCCTCTTAGGTTTCGTGACTACCTGCAGCCTCCGTCACCTCCAGGGCCCCTGGGGAGATGAACCAGTGGCTCTTCACCGATTCACTTGGTCTGCGAAAGCTAATCGGGGGAGATGTTGGACTGTGGCCTCCCAGCCGACATCCCCTGGATGTTGACTCCGCCAGGCACCCAAGCCTTTTCCCCCTCAACCAATAGCTCCTCGCCCCGGGAGCTCACCGGTAGCCACAGTAACTGCGGTTTCCTGGCACTCAGCTTTAGAGCCCAGGGACCAACCAGCCTCCCGAACACCTGGGTCCCCTGTGGCTCCATGAAAATTGAGCCCAGGCCCAGGTGTGCAGTGGGAGGCTGTGCGATACTGGGAGCGGTGCCAAGCCCTGGCCGAGCAGGCAAGAAGGACAAAGTCAGGGGAACCCCCCATCCCATCCTGTGCTCACTGCACCCTCCAGTGTAGTAAAGGCACAAGGTGGAGTATTTAAGCCAGCAGTTCTCAACCGGGGGGCATTTGGCCCCCCCAGGGGACACTTGTAAAGTCTGGAGACATTTTTGGTTGTCACGACTGGGGGAGAAGAAGCTCTTAGCATCAAGAAGGTAGGGCCCAAGGATGCTGCCCAGCACCCCCCAAGGCACAGGACAGGGTCTCCAACGGAGAACTATCTGTCCGCAAATGTCAGCAGTGCTGAGAAACTGGGACACCAACTTTAAATCAACTCTAGCTGAATCTCCTTGCCTGCAGGAGGTGTGGAACCTGAGGCCTGCTCTCCTCTAGAAGAAGGGAGATTAGCAAGTCTCCCGAGGGGCAGTTAAGGACCTACCCACCTGAAACTGACCGGGATTTCACTCATGGTCTGGTGGTTAAGACTCCACGCTTCCAATGCAAGGGGTGCAAATTCCATCCCTGATTGAGTAACATCCCATGTACCGGTCAAGGTCAAAAAAAAAAAAAGAAAGAAAGAAACTGAGTTGTGCTGTTTGAAATAACCAAATACACCGTTTGAAACAGCATGGATGGAGCTTGAGGGCATCACATTGAGTGAAACAAGTCAGAGGAAGATAACTGCTGCAAAACCTCACTTACATGTGAGACAAGAAAGGAGCCCAACTCAGAGACTTCCCTGGTGGTCCAGTGGTTGATAATCCAGGTTCGATCCCTGGTTAGGGAACTAAGACCCCACATGCTGCTGGGAAACTAAGCCCATGTGTCACAACTACTGAGCCTGCGTGCCCTGGAGCCTGTGCTGCCCAACAAGAGGAGCCCATGTACTGCAAAAAAGAGCCAGCGCAAACAACCAAACAAAAAAAGCCCAACTCAGAACAGAGAGTAGAATGGTGGTTGCCAGGGACTGTAAGGTGGGGAAATGGGGAGATGTTGGCCAAGGGGTGCAAGCTTCCAGTTATGAGTGAGTCCAAGGATCTAATGTATAGCATGACGGTTACAGTTAACAATACTGTGCAATGTTGTGTTACACACCTGAAGGTTCCTAAGAGAGTTAAAAGTCCTCACCACAAAAGTGAAATGCTAATTATGTGACACACATTAGCTAATGCTACCGTGGCTAGCCATCCTGTAGTGAATAAGTGCATCATATGGATGTGATACACCCTAAACTTATACAATGTTATGTGTCAATTGTATTTCAATAAAGCCTGGGAAAAAATTTTTTTTAAAAACATGAGCAGGAAAAGACTTTCTCAGGATTTGACCTTACTGGAGATGCTTTGGTGACCTCAGTCCTGCCTCACCCACCTCTCAGGGTTGACGGACCACAGATTGGAGGAAAGGATACCTTGGTGTCCATGGGTTAGCTTGGAATGCTGACTCCTCCAGTGACTTCCTGAAGGACTTAAGCCAGCATCCTCTCTCCTGGGACATCAGCTGCCATCCTCTGTGAAATGGGAGTGAGAACCACTCATGGGTGGGCTAGGGTGAGAAGAGGAAGCTCTCATCTCAGGAAGGAAGGAAGCAAGGAAGGCAGGAAGAAAGCACAACGTGGCTGACAATCAAAATAAATACCCAAAGTTCCATGAGGAACAAAATATGAACAAGGCATTTGGGAGAGAGGTATGTAAGTACCCACCTCAGCTCAGCTCACTGCTCTGCGATGAGCTAGAGAGGAGAAAAGGAGAAACAGGAGGAAGGCTCAGGAGGGAGGGTTTGTGTGCATACGTATGACTGATTCACTGCATCTACAGCAAAAACGAACACAGCATTGTAAAGCAATGATACTCCAATCAAAAAAATAAAGAAAAAGAGACTTCCTTGGTGGTCCAGTGGTTAAGGCTCCATGCTCCTAATGCAGGGGGCTCGGGGTCAATCCCTGGTTGGGGAACAAAGATCCCACAACCCACACGTGCAATCAAAAAATTAAAAAAAATTAAAAATATGATTTGCTTTTCCACTTGTTCATATATATATGTTTTAAAAGGCCCCACTTTACATACAGGCACTCAAGAAATAGTTTTACCTAACAGCCTGAACTTCTGCTCATCTTTTTCTTCTCTGCCCCAACTTCCCTTCCCTGCTTTGTCCATCTGGAAAGGCTTTGCTGTTCAGGAGTCCCCAGGACCACCCTACGTTTGGAGGATTCCCTAGGAGGACTCACAGAATTCACAGGTGCTGTTTCACTCACCGTGACAGTTTATCACAGCAAAAAGTTAAAGTGTTGGTTGCTCAGTCATGTCTAACTCTTTGCGACCCCATGGACTGTAACCCTGCCAGGCTCCTCTGTCCATGGAATTCTCCAGGCAAGAATACTGGAGTGGGTTGCCATTTCCCTCTCCAGGGCATCTTTCTGACCCAGGGATTGAACACACATCCACTGCATCTCCTGCATTGACAAGGAGATTCTTTACCACTGAGCCACCTGCAAAGCCAGTTTCAGTTCAGTTCAGTCACTCAGTCACGTCCAACTCTCTGCGACCCCATGGACTGCAGCACACCAGTCTTCCCTGTCTATCACCAACTCCCGGAGCTTGCTCAAACTTAAGTCCCTTGATTCGGTGATGCCATCCAACTGTCTCATCCTCTGTTGTTCCCTTCTCCTCCAGTCTAATGCTGGCCAATTTATCTCAGTCTTAGGGCCTTTGCATATGCCATTCTTGAACTCCTATGCTGCACCTTTTCAAGTTACTCACATTCCAGCTTAATGCCATTTCCTGAGAGGCTCTCTCTAACCGTCCTATTACTCCTTGATCTCTCCAATTATTCCCCGCGCCATCACCGTATTTTTTTTTTTTTTGCCATCACCCTATTTTAATTCTCTGCACAGTACTCACCACCAGCTGATGTTTCTTCTTTGTTTATTGTATGTCCCTCCTGAAAGAACGTGATGTCCGTGTCTTCCAAAGTCAGCGTGCCTGGCACATAGTAGGTGCTGAGTCCATAACTGTCCAGTCAGTCAGTTCATCCACAATTATCCATCTTTCTCAACTTCTGTTGGTCACCTAAGGAGGCAACTAAGCAAGCCTGGATTCCCCAGGAAGGACGGAGGTTTTCCTTGGGGGCTCCAGCCTTCCTCCAGCTCCTACTGGAGGTGGCAGGGCCAATTTAGAATCTTCTTGGGAAGTAAGAAAATTTCCTGGGCTCAGCATTGCCTGAAAGTCATGCCCCCAGCAATCCTAGTAACTTTTGTCTTAGGCATTTCACAGGTCTCTCTCTGCCAATTCTCCCAGCAACTGGGATAATGAAAGAAATTGTTTGGCTCTCCAGCCCTGGCTAGGCTGGGCACTTAGCCAGACTTGGCGGTTAACTATTGTGTGCCGGCTAATGGGCTGATCCTAGCAGATGCGCTTTGAGTAGGGCAATCCTCCCAACAACCTCAGGAGGCACACATCATAATCCCGTCCCACCGAAGAGGAGTCTGTGTATTCATTGCTCAGTCATGTCCGACTCTTTCTGACTCCATGGACTGTAGCCTAACAGGCTCCTCTGTCCATGGGATTCTCCAGGCAAGAATACTGGAATGGGTAGCCATTCCTTTCTCCAGGGGATCTTCCCAACCCAGGGATCAAACACACATCTCCCGCATCTTCTGCTCTGGCAGGCAGATTCTTTACCACTGTGCCACCTGGGAAGCTCACGTTACCATAGTCGTATTATTTTTTAAATTATTTTTTGTCTTTTATTTTTAAAATATTTATTGGGGTATAGTTGATTTACAATGTTGTGTTTGTTACTTCTGTAGAGCAAAGTGAATCAGTTTTATATATACAGAGCACAGGTAGAGTTCCTTGTGCTATACAGTAGATTCTTATTAACTATCTATTTTATATATAGTAGTGTGTTGGGCTTCCTTAGTGGCTCAGTAGAAAAGAATCAGCCTGCAATGCAGAAGACGTGGGTTTGATCCCTGGCTTAGGAAGACCCCCTAGAGGAGGAAATGGCAACCCGCTCCAATATTCTTGCCTGGGAAATTCCACGAACAAAGGAGCCTAATGGGCTTCAGCCCATGGGGTCACAAGAGTCGGACACAACTTAGCAACTAAACACTATAACAGTGTGTATATATCAATCTCCCGTTTCACACACCCTCACCCCATTTTCTACTCTGGCAACCACAAGTTACCTGGTAACCCATGAACTGTATGAAAAGGCAAAAAGATAGGACACTGAAAGATGAACTTCCCAGGTCAGTAGGTGCCCTATATGCTACTGCAGATCAGTGGAGAAATAACTCCAGAAAGAATGAAGAGGCTGAGAAAAAGCAGAAACAATGACTAGTTGTGGATATGACTGGTGATGGAAGTGAAGTCCGATGCTGTAAAGAGCAATATTGCATAGGAACCTGAAATGTTAAGTCCATGAATCAAGGCAAATTGGAAGTGGTCAAACAGGAGATAGCAAGAGTGAACATCAACATTTTAGGAACAGCGGACTAAAATGGACTGGAATGGGTGAATTTAACTAAGATGACCATTATATCTACTACTGTGGGCAGGAATCCCTTAGAAGAAATGGAGTAGCCATCATAGTCAACTAAAGAGTCCGAAATGCAGTACTTGAATGCAATCTCAGAAAGGACAGAATGATCTCTGTTTGTTTCCTAGGCAAACCATTCAATATAATGGTAATCCAAGCCTATGCCCCAACCAGTAATGCTGAAGAAGTTGAAATTGAATGGTTCTATGAAGACCTACAAGAATTTCTAGAACTAACACCCAAGACAGATGTCCTTTTCATTGTATGGGACAAAAATGCAAAAGGAGGAAGTCAAGAGATACCTGGAGTAACAGGAAAATTTGGCCTTGAAATACAAAACAAAGCAGGTCAAAGGCTAACAGTTCTGCCAAGAGAACGCACTGGTCACAGCAAACACCTTCTTCCAAGAACACAAGAGAAGACTCTACACATGGACATCACCAGATGGTCAACACCAAAATCAGATTGCTTACATTCTTTGCAGCCAAAGATGGAGAAGCTCTATACAGTCAGCAAAAGCAAGACCGGGAGCTAACTGTGGCTCAGATCATGAACTCTTTATTGCCAGATTCAGACTTAAATTGAAGAAAGT